ATCATGTCGTGCTCGTATCCGTGTCTTATTAAAATAAAAGAGAGAATGAAAAAGAAGGTGAAAATTTGGACGGAGAAAGATAGTATTAACCGAGAATGTTTGAGAAAAGTAACAAATAAGGGGGAAAAGAAAATTGGAAATATTCCGGGTGTGATTTGGCTGTTTAATTCTTCGTCTATTTTTACTTATGGTAGTAATTACGTATATATCTTTATGACACTTATAACAACAACAAATAATTATTTTTCTACTTGTATTTGTAATATTTGAACCTATAATTCTTTCAATATTTATTTTCTATCAAATAAATGTTTTTTTTTTGTTCCATGTTCGTTCTTATATTTAATAAAATGTCAAATATATTAGGCCCAACACGACCCACTAATATATCGTGCTGTGCCCGTGCTCTTGCCGGTGCCCATGAAGTTTAGGACCGACACGGCCCATAAATTATTTGTGCTCGTACCGGAATGGCCCATTTATTTCTTGCCTGTTCCCGTGCTGTGCTAGCCAGTGGGCGGCCCGGGCCGGTGCCCATGTACAATGGTACCCGGTTGAAATAAGTTCACCAAAAATGGACCGGGAAGAACTCTGCCGAAATTACTTCATCATCGTTGAAACATAGCCTCACGCCTAATCCGTGATCTGTAGCCTTCAAGATCCAAGGAAAATGGCCTTTCGAAAAAAATCGTTAAAAAAATTACGAAAATGTCATCTGAAAATGAATTTGCCCAAATCGCTACTTAATGGTCTTAATCATCGATGGAGAATAGGATTAATGAATTTTCCCAAATCGGTGCTTAATAGACTCAATCATCGTTGAAAAATAGCCTTAGGCCGAATCTGTGATCTGTATCCTTCAAAATCCAAGCAAAATGGCTTTCCGATAAAAATCGCCCATAAAATAACGAAAATGCAATCAGAAAATGAATTCGCCCAAATTGGTGTTTAACAGACATAATCATCGGTGGAGAATAGGATCAATAGATTTCATTATCAGTGGAGAATCGTCTCGGGCATCATCCGTGATTTGTAGCCTTCTTATTCAAAAGAAAATGGCATTTGGGGAAAATCGCCCAAAATCTGTGATGGTGCCCCTTTGGATCCTGCGAAAAATGGAATCGGAAGAAATACGCACAAAGCGGTGCTTAATGGACTTAATCATTGTTGAATAATAACCTCAGGCCGAATCTGTCATCTGTAACTTTCAAAATCGAAGGAAAATTACCTTTCGATAAATACCAAAAAAATAACGATACTGTCAACCAAAAATTATTTCGCCCAAATCCCTGTCTAATGGACTTAACAATCGGTGGAGAATAGGATCAATAGACTTCATTATCGGTGGAGAATAGCCTCGGGCTGAATCCATGATTTGTAGCCTACATAATAGAAAGAAAATGGCATTTGGGGAAAATTGCCTGAAATCTGTGATGATACCCCTTCAGAGTTTGTTAAAACTCGAACTAGAAGAAATCCGTCCAAATCGGTGCTTAATTGACTTAATCATCGTTGAAGAATAGCCTCCGGCAAAATCCGTGATCTGTAACCTTCAAAATCCAAAGAAAATGGCCTTCCGAAAAAAAATCGCTCAAAAAATTATGAAAATGTTATCCAAAAATGAATTCGCCTAAATCGCTGCCTATTGAACTAAATTATCGATTGAGAATAGAATCAATAGATTTCATTATCATTGGTGATTAGCCTCAGGTTGAATCCATGATTTGTAGCCATCAAATCGAAACAAAATGGCATTTAGGGAAAATCCCTATACATATGTGATGGTACCTCTTTTGGAGTGCCTAAAATGGACCCAGAAGAAATCCGACTAAATCGGTACTTAATAGACTTAACCATCTTTGAAGAATAGCCTCATGCTGAATCCGTGATCTGTGGCCTACAAAATCCAATGTAAATGGCCTTTCGAAAATATAGCCAAAAAAATTACGAAAATGCCATCTGGAAAATGAATTAGCCCAAATCGGTGTATAATGGACTTATCATTGGTGGAGAATAAGATCAATAGACTTCATTATTGGTGGAGACTAGTCTCGACTGAAATTGTGATCGGCTGCATTCAAAATCGAAAAGATGGCATTTCGTGAAAATTGCCTGAAATATGTGATGGTACCGCTTTGGAGTTCGCCAAAAATGGACCTAGAAGAACTCCGTCGAAAACAGTGTTTAATTGACTTAATCATCGTTGAAGAATAGTCTCGCGCCGAATTCGTGATCTGTAGCCTTCAAAATACAAGGAAAGTGGGCTTTCGAAATGAATCGCCCAAAAATTTATGAAAATGTCATCTGAAAATGTATTCGCCCAAATCGCTGACTAATGGACATAATCATCAATGAAGAATAGGATTAATAGACTTCATTATCGGTGGAGAATAGCCTCGGGTTGAATACGTAATTTGTAGTATTTAAAATCAAAAGAAAATGGCCTTTATGGAAAATCACAAAAAATCTGTGATGGTACCTCTTTAGAGTGCCTAAAGTGGACCCGCAAGAAATCTGACTAAATCGATGCTTAATGGATTTAATCATCTTTAAATAAAATCCTCACTCCGAATTCGTGATATGTGGCCTTTAAAATCCAAGGAAAACAGCTTTTAGAAAATATAGCCAAAAAAATTATGAAAATGTCATCCGAAAATTAATTCGCCCAAATCAGTGCTTAACAGACTTAATTATATGTGGAGAATAGGATCAATAGACTTCATTATCGGTGGAGAATAGCCTCAGGCTTAATCCATGATCTGTATTCTTCAAAATCAAAAGAAAATAGCATTTCGGAAAAATCTCCTGAAATTTGCGATGGTACCCCTTTGGAGTCGGCCAAAAATTGACCTATAAGAAATCCGCCCAAATTGGTTCTTAATGGACTTAATCATCGTTGAAGAATAGCCTCAACCCGAATCCTTTATCTATAGGCTTCAAAATCCAAGGAAAATGACCGTTAAAAAAGAAATTGCCAAAGAACAACGAAATTGCCATCCTTAAATTAATTTGCCCAAATCGATGTCTAATGGACTTGATCATCAGTGGAGAATAGGATCAATATACTTCATTATCGCTGGCGAATAGCATCAGACTGAATCCGTGTTCTATAGCCTTCAAAATAGAAAAAAATGGTATTTTGGGAAAATCGCCCGAAATCTTAGATGGTACTCCGTTGTAGTCCGCTAAAAATTGAACTGGAATCAATCCGTCCAAAGCGGTGCTTAATCGACTTCATCATCGTTGAAGAAAATGGTATTTCGGGAAAATTGCTCGGATTTTGTTATGGTTTTGGAGTCTGCCAAAAATGCACTCAAAAGAAATCTGTCCAAATCAGTGCTTAATGGCTTAATTATCATTGAAGAATATACTCAGACCGAATCCGTGATATGTGGCCGTCAAAATCCAAGGAAAATAGCATTTAAAAAAAAATCACCAAACAAATTATGAAAATGTCGTCCGAATATTAATTCGCCCAAATCGGTGTCTATTGGACTTAATCAGTGAGGGTCAATAGGATCCATAGATTTAATTATCGTGTGAGAATAGCCTCAGGATGAATCCCTTATCGGTGGCCTTCAAAATCGAAAGAAACTAACATTTCGGGAAAATCGCCTGAATTCTGTGATGGTACACCTTTGGAATCTGCCAAAAATGGAACTAGAAAAAATCCGTGCAAATCGGTGCTAAATGAACTTAGTCATCGTTGAAGAATAGCCTCAGACCGAATCTGTGATCTGTAGCCTTCCAAATCGAAGGAAAATGGCCTTTCGACAATAATCGCCAAAAATATTACAAAAATTCCATCCGAAAATTAATTTACACAAATCAGTGTGTAATGGACTTAAACATCGTTAAAGAGTAACCTCCGGTCGAATCTGTGATCTATAGCCTTCATAATTCTAGGAAAATGACATTTCAAAAAACATATCACCAAACAAATTATGAAATTGTCGTCTGAATATTTATTCGCCCAAAATGGCATTTTGATTTGTTGCTATCAAAACATAAAGAAAATGGCATTTCGGAAAAATCGCATGAAATCTGTGATAGTACCCTTTTGGAGTCTTCCAAAACTGGAACCGGAAGAAATCCGCACAAAGCGGTGATTAATGGACCTAATCATCGTTGAATAATAACCTCAGGCCGAATCTGTGATCTGTAGCCTTCAAAATCGAAGGAAAATGACCTTTCATAAAAATACCAAAAATATAACGAAACTGTCATCCAAATATTAATTCCCCCAAATCGATGTCTAATGGACTTAATCGGTGGAGAATAGGATCAATAGGCTTCATTATCGGGGGAGAATAACCTCGGACTAAATCCATGATCTGTAGCTTACATAATAAAAAGAAAATGGCATTTGGGGAAAATTGCCTGAAATCTGTGAACTGTGATTGTACCCCTTTGGAGTTCAATAAAATGGAAATAGAAGAAATCCGTCCAAATCGTTGCTCAATGGAATTAATCATCGTTGAAGAATAGCCTCCGGCCGAATCTGTGATTTGTAATCTTCAAAATCCAAAGAAATGGCTTTTAACCATAAACCCCAAAGAAATGGCTTTTAAAAAAAATCACTCAAAATATTATGAAAATATCATCCAAAAATGAATTTGCCCAAAACGATGCCTAATGGACTTAATCGTCGATTGAGAAGAGAATCAATAGACTTCATTATTAGTGGCGAATAGCTTCAGGCTGAATCCACGATTTGTGGCCTTTAAATCGAAAGATTAATGGCATTTAGGGGAAATTGCCAGAAATATGTGATGGTACCTCTTTGGAGTGCCTAAAATGGACCTGCAATAAATTTGAATAAATCAGTGCTTAATAGAATTAATCATCTTTGAAGAATAGCCTCACTGCGAATTAGTGATCCGTGGCCTTCAAAATCCAAAGAAAATTTCGAAAATATATCCAAAAAAATTATGAAAATGCCATCTGAAAAATGAATTCGCCCAAATCGGTGTATAGTGGACTTAATCATCGGTGGAGAATAGGATCAATAGACTTCATTATCGATGGAGAATAGTCTCAGGCTTAATCCGTGATCTGTAACCTTCAAAATCAAAAGAAAATGGTATTTTGGGAAGATCACCCGAAATATGTGATGGTACCACTTTGGAGTTGGCCAAAAATGGACCCGGAAGAAATCCGCCCAAATTAGTGCTTAATGGACTTAATCATCGTTGAAGAATAGCCTCACGCAAAATCCTTTATCTGTAGCCTTTAAAATCCAAGAAAAATGACAATTCGAAAAAAATTTGCCAAAAAACAACCAAATTTCCATCCTAAAATTAATTCGCCCAAATCACTGTCTAATGGACTTAATCATCGGTGGAGAATGGGATCAATAGACTTCATTATCGGTGGCGAATAGCCTCATGCTGAATCTGTGATCTGTAGCCTTCAAAATAGAAAGAAAATGGTATTTTGGGAAAATCGCTCGAAACTCGGATGGTACCCCTTTGTAGTCTGCTAAAAATGGAACTGGAAGAAATCGGTCCAAAGCGGTGCTCAATGGACTTCATCATCGTTGAAGAAAATGGTATTTCGGGAAAATCGCTCCAAATTTGTGATGTTACCCCTTTGTAGTCTACCAAAAATGGACCCAGAAGAATTCCGTCCAAATCGGTGCTTAATGGACTTAATCATCGTTGAAAAACATCCTCAGGCCGAATCCGTGATATGTGGCCGTGGCCGTCAAAATCCAAGGAAAATGGCATTAAAAAAATCACCAAATAAAATTATGAAATTGTCGTCTGAATATTAATTCGCCCAAATCGATGTCTAATGGACATAATCATCAGGGTAGAATAGGATCAATAGATTTTATTATCGTTGGAGAATAACCTCAGGATGAATCCCTGATCGGTGGCCTTCAAAATCGAAAGGAATTGACATGTCGGGAAAATTGCCCAAAATTTATAATGGTACCCCTTTGGAATCTGCCGAAAATGGAATCGGAAAAAATTTGTGCAAATCGATGCTAAATGAACTTAATAATCGTTGAAGAATAGGCTAAGGCCGAATCAATGATTTGTAGCCTTCAAAATATAAGGAAAATGGCATTTAAAAAAAATCACCAAATAAATTATGAAATTGTCGTCTGAATATTAATTCGCCAAAATCGATGTCTAATGGACTTAATCATCGGGGGAGAATAGGATTAATAGACTTAATTATCGTGGGAGAATAGCCTCGGATGAATCCCAGATTGGTGGCCTTCAAAATTGAAAGAAACTGACATATCCAGAAAATCCCTCAAATCTGTGATGGTACCCCTTTGGAATCTGCCAAAAATGTAACAGGAAAAAATCCTCGCAAATCGATGCCAAATGAACTTAATCATCATTGAACAATAGCTTCAGGCCGAATCCGAGATATGTAGCCTTCCAAATCGAAGGAAAATATCATTTTGAAAAAAAATCACCAATAATAATACGAAATGCCATACGAAAATTAATTTACCCAAATCGTTGTCTGATGGACTTAAACATCATTGAAAAATAACCTCAGGCCGAATTTGTGATCTATAGCATTCAAAATCCAAGGACAAATGACATTTAAAAAAAAATCACTAAATAAATAATGAAATTGTCGTCCGAATATTAACTCGCACAAAATGGCATTTTGATCTGTATCTATCAAAATCAGAATAAAATGGCATTCCGGGAAAATCGTCAGAAATTTGTGACGGTACCCATTTGGAGTCTGCCAAAAATGGATCCGGAATAAATCCGCCCAAATCGGTGCTTATTGGACTTAGTCATCGTTGAAGAATAACCTCACGCCAAATCTATGACCTGTAGCTATCAAAATTCGTGGAAAATTGTATGAAAATTAAACGAAAATGCCATCCGAAAATTTATTCACCCAAATAGGTGTCTAATGGAATTAATCATAGCTTGAGAATAGGATCAATACACTTCATTATCGCTGGAGAATAGCCTCGGGCTGAATCTTTGATTTGTAGGCTTCCAAATTGAAAAATGGCATTTCGAAAAAAAGCTTGAATTTGTGAGTCCGCCTAAAATGGAATCGGAAGAAATCCGCCCAAATCGGTGCTTAATGGACTTAATCATCATTAAAGAATAGCCTCAGACCGAATCTGTTATCTGTAACCTTCAAAATCAAACGAAAATGGCCTTTCATAAAAATTGCAAAAAAATAATAATGAAAATGTCATTTGAAAATGAATTCTCCTAAATCGCTGACTAATGGAATTAATGATCGATGGAGAATTGGATTGATAGACTTCATTATCAGTAGAGAATAGCCTCGGGCTGAATCCGTGATCTGTAGCATTCAAAATCGAAAAAATGGCTTTTCGGGAAATTCTCCCTAAATCTATGATGGTACCCCTTCGAAGTCCGCCAAAAATAGAACTGGAAGAAATCCGCCCAAATCGGTGCTTAATGGACTTAATCGTCTTTGAATAAGCGCCCGAAATCGGCCGAAACCTGTGTTGGTACCTATTTGAAGTCTGCCAAAAATGAAACCGGAAGAAATCCGTACAAATCGGTACTTAATCATCGTTGAAGAATAGTCTCAGTCTGAATCCGTGATTTGTAGCATTCAAAATCCAAGAAAAATGGCTTTTTGAAACGATTGCAAAAACAATTACAAAAATGCAATCAGAAAATGAATTCGCTCAAATGATTGCCTAATGGACTTAATCATTGGTGGAGAATAGGATCAATAGTCTCTATTATCGGTGGAGAATAGCTTCGTGCAGAATCCTTGATCTGTAACCTTCAAAATCAAAATAAAATCGCATTTTGAGAAAATCGTCTGGATTCTGTGATGGTACGTACCCCTGTGTGGTTCACTAAAAACGAACCAGGATGAAAAAGCACAAATAGGTGCTTAATGGACTTAATCATCGTTGGAAAATAGTCTCAGGCTGAATCCGTGATCTTTAGCCTTCAAAATCCAAGGAAAATGGACTTTCGAAAAAAATTGCCCAAAAATAAGGAAAATGCCATCAGAAAATTAATTCACCCTAATCGGTGTCTAATGGATCATCGGTGGAGAATAGAATCAATAGATTTCATTATTAGTGGAAAATAGCCTCGGGTTAAATCTGTGATCTGTAGCCTTCAAAATTCAAAGAAAATGGTCGTTCGAAAAAATCGCGCAAAAAATAATCAAAATGACCTATCATGTTGTCTTTGTAATTCGGGGATAGAGGATAGGAAACATTTGTATGTGCAATTTTCATTCTCGAGGCACCTGTTTGCTGCTCTTTTCTGCAGATATTTTTAGCCTCCAATGGTGCAAAATTGGGAGGATTTGATAGCTTTCATGATTAGGAAGCTTGGTGGATCGACGGAAGCTGCTGAATCGGGGCGCACTATCTGGCAGACGTGGGTGAGCCACATTTGGAGGGAACGCTGAAGGCGTTTGTATGCAGGGGAAGCAAAAGAGTATCAGGTCTTGTTGAAAATCATCTAGGGAGAGATGTAGTGTGTGCTGGGTATGCAGAGGGTTTCCTTATTGTGGATCAGTTAATTTGTCTTAGAGGCTCGGTTTTGATAGGTTTTTCCTTACTTTCTATTGTAATCACCTTTTGGTTGAATGAAGATCCCAACGATTCATAAAAAAAATCCGCCAAAATCGGTGCTTAATTGATTTAACATCCGTGGAAAATAAAATCAATAGAACTCATCATTGGAGGAGAATAGCCTCAGGCCAATTTGTGATATTTAGCCATCAAAATCGAAAGAAACTGGCATTTCGGACAAATCAGATGAAATATGTAATGGTATCTTTTTGGAATATACCAAAAATGACCCAGAAGATATCTACCAAAATCGGGGTTTAATGGACTTAATCATCCGTGAAGAATAGCCTTAGTCTAAATCTGTGATCTGTAGCCTTCAAAATACAAGGAAAACGGCCTTAAAAAATGACCAAAAATATTATAAAAATGCCATTCGAAAATAAATTCACCATATTTGGTGCTTAATGGACTTAAAGATAGATGGAGAATAGGATCAAGAGACTTGATTGTAGGTGAAGCATAGCCACAGGTCGAATTCGAGCTTTTTTTTTTTGTCAAAAGATATCATATATTGATCAGAATAAATAGATAGTTACATCTTGGAAACCAGCCAGGCCCGAAAATCAAAGAAGCGACACATAGTTGGATACAAAGTGAGGGCGATTTGTAGCCTTCAAAATACAAGGAAAACGACCTTTCTAATAAACTTGCACAAAAAGTTACGAAAATGACAGCCAAAAATAAATCTGCCCAAATCAGTGCGTAATGGATTCAATCATCGGTGAAGAATAGGTTCAAAAGACTTCATCCTCGTGTGAGAATACCCTCTAGCAAAATTCATGATCGGTATCCTCAAAATCGAAAGAAAATAACATTTCGGAGAAATCACCTGAAATATGTTGTGGTGCCCTTAGGAATCTTTCGAAATTGGGCACGGAAGAAATCTTCCCAAATCATTGCTTAATGGACTTACTTATCGATGCAGACTAATCTTAGGCCGAATCTGCGATCTGTAGCCTACAAAATTAAAAAAATGGCCTTTCGAAAAAAAAATTTCCAAAATAATTACAAAAAATGTCATCCAAAAATAAATATGCCCAAATTGGTGCTTAGTGAATTTAATCATGGTGGAGAAATCAATAGACTTCACGGTGGAGAAGTGCCTCGAGCCGACTCCTTAATTTGTAGCTTTCAAAATTGAACGAAAATAGCTTTTCGAAAAATCACCCGAAATTTGTGATGTGTAACTTTTGGAAACTAGCAAAAATGGACACGGAAAAAACCCGCATAAATCACTGCTTAAAGGACTTAATCATCGTTGAAGAATAGCATCAGGCCAATCTATTATCTGTAGCCTTCACAATCACGCAAAATGGCCTTCTGACCAAATTGCCAAAAAATTACAAAAATCTCATCAAAAAATAAATTTTCCCAAATCATTGCTTATTGGACTTAATCATCGAAGGAGAATAGATCAATAGACTTCATCATCATTAGAGAATAGCCTCGGGCCGAATCATTAATCTGTGGCCTTAAAAATTGAATGAAAATGGCATTTTGCAAAAATCACCCGAAATATGTGATGGGTACCGTTTGGAATCTGGCAAAAATGGACCTGGAAGAAATCCATCCAAATCGGTGCCTAATGGACTAAATCATCGGTGAAGAATAGGCGTAGGCTGAATTCGTGATATGTTGCCTTCAAAAATCAAAATCCATTGAAAACAGCCTTTCGAAACAAATCCTCCAAAGATTATGAAGATTTCATCCGAAAATAAATCCTATCAATTCAAAGCTTAATGGACTTAAACATCGGTGGATAATTGGATCAATAGACTTCATCATCGATGGAGAGTATGCTCAGGCCAAATTTGTGATTTGTAGTCTTTAAAATCTAAATGAAATGTCATTTCGGAAAAATCGCAGGAAATCTGGGATGGTACTCATTTGAAATCTCCCAAAAATGGACCAGGAATACATCCGCTTAAATCGATCTTTAATGGACTTAATCAGCTGTGAAGAATACCCTTAGGCCAAATATGTTATCTGTGGCCTTCAAAATCCAATGAAAACGGCCTTTCGAAACGTTCGACCAAAATCTACTAAAATGCCATCCTAAATTAAATCCGCCCAAATTGGTGTTTAATGCACTTAATCATCGGTGGATAATTGGATCAATAGACTTCATCATCAATGATAGTAGCCTCAGGCCGAATCCGTGATCTGTAGCATTCAAAATCCAAGGAAAATAGCATTTCCAAAAAATTCTCCCAAAAATTACGATAATAAATCGGTGCTTAATTGACTTAATAATTGGAGAAAAATTGGATCAATAGACTTCATCATTGGTGGAGAATAGCCTCAGGCCAATTTGTGATATGTAGTCTTAAAATCGAAAGAACATGACATTTCGAAAAAATCACCCGAAATCTGTGATGCCATTTGCAATATGCCAAAACATGAACCAAAAGAAATCCGCCAAAATCGCTGCTTAATGGACTTAATCATCGGTGATAAACAGTCTCAAGCTGAATTCGTTATCTCTATCCTTCAAAATCAATGGAAAACGACCTTTCAAAACAAATCGCCCAAAATTATGAAAACGCCATCCGAAAATAAATCCGCCCAATTCAATGCTTAATGGACTTAACCTCGGTGGATAATAGGATCAAGAGACTTCATCATTGGTGAAGAATAGCCTCAGACCAAATCCGTGATCTTAAGCCTTCAAAATCCAAGAAAAATGGTCTTTCGAAAAAATTGCTCGGAATTTTTGATGGCCTTTCGAAAAAGTCCCTTTGAATCGGCCAAAAATGGACCCAGAAAAATTCGCCAAATTGTTGCTTAATAGAATAAATCATCAGTACTGAATAGACTCGGGCCGAATCCGTGATCTTTAGCCACTAAAATCCATGGAAAATGGCATGTAGAAAAAAAATTGCCTAGAAATTATGGAAATGCCCTTCGAAAAAATTCGCAAAAATATGTGCTCAATAGACTTCATCATCATTGGAGAACTACCTCAGGCCGAAATCTGTGATAACTGATATGTAGCCTTAAATTGACCCGGAAAAACTTCTCAAACCGGTGCTCAATGAATTTAATCATTTGAGGAAAATTGCGTTCCGAAAAAACCGGCCAAAAATTACAAAAATGCCCTCCTAGAAAATCCGCCAAAATTTGCGGTTATAGACTTTATCATCGGTGGAGAAATGACCGAGGCCGAATCCGATGATCAGTAGCCTTCAAAATGCAAGGAAAATAGTCTTTCTAAACAATCGCCCAAAATCTGTGATTGTACCCATTTGGAATCTACCAAAAGTGGACCTGGAAAAAATCCGCCTAAATCAACGCTTAATAGACTTCATCATCTGGGGAGAATAGCCTAATGGCGATCTGTGATCAGTAGCATTCAAAATCCAAGGAAAATGGCCTTTCGAAAAAAATCACGCAAAATCTATGATGATATGACTCGCTATAACACAACTCCTAACAATGGCCAAGTGTAACCAATGGAAGGGACTGCAGTATAGTGGCTCAAGTGATAAATATCGAATCCACGGGTCTCTAGAGTTACTATTACTCAGCTTCAGTTTATTATTTAGCAAACCAAATTAAGATGAAAGAACTAAAACTACTCTAGCAAACTACAGTTAAAGTTAATCTAATTACAGGTTGGGAACTCACTTAGGTATGATTCCCCCTAGCCACTAGCCAGACTAACGATTGATGATTTCCAACTTGTTTCACTTTCATTCACAATGCGGAGAATCCTTGAGTAGACCTTGAGTCTCGACTAAAGGAACAAGGCCCTCTTGAGTCAATTGCCTAAAGGGACGTATCCTTCTCTAGAACAACTGATCAAGGCGTTCTGAACTAGACTCCCTCTATCGAAAGAGGTTCTCAATCGATACAAAGCAGTGAATCAACCCTCGACTAAAGCAATCGATCCACTACTATCAATCTATGGTGCTCTATTGACCTAATCAGGTATTCCCTCTCATAGAATCAAAGCAGAATCAATAATCTCGACTAAAGCAGAATTGAATCATGAAAACATGCATAGATTGAATATGAACTCAAGATTATCCAGTCAGAGTACTCATACAATCATCCAATCAAACAAACATAGCTAGGGTTCCTCAAAACCTAAGTGAAGGGAAGTTACTCCATAGAGAAGAGAGAGACTGCAGTAAGAATCTTCAGATGATCAGTCTTCAAGTCCGGGCTTGTTCCTCGAGCTTCCAAGGCGAAGAAATCCTCCAACTCCACTCCAAGAATGCCCTCAAATCGCCCTCTCTCTCTTTGGTTCGTCCCTTGGGTGTTTGGGATCCAAAACCCAGCTCTCCCTCTTCTTTGGTTCGGAATTTGGCTTAAAACCAGGAAATCCCGACTCGCACGGCCAGGGTGCACGGCCGTGCATATCACCATTCTGGCCGTGCAACTCAAAACGCAGCGTGTCATTTAGTCGACCTTCAGCCCACTCTCACGGCCAGGGTGCACGGCCGTGCGAGCTTCAGGGGTTGCCCGTGCGTGTCCTCGTCATAAGGCGCACGGCCATATTGCTCACGTGCACGGCCGTGCATCCTCCCTGGTCTGCCCGTGCAGCTTGCTCAGCCTCTGTTTAATGCTTCGTTTCTCCCTCGTCCGGACTCCGAATCAGTCGCCGTTTGATCCCAGACGCTCGTAGTCTCGTCCTCTTTCGTTTCATAACAAGCTTGCATGCTTCTTTGTCCATAAAGTGAGGTAGAAATCCATTCTTCTTCACTTTATGTGCTAGGACCTGAAATGGGACAAAGGAACACAACCTAGCATAAAATAGGCCACAACACACGAATATGCCCCTCAAACGGATAAGAACTAGGGGCGCAAAAATGTGCAATTACATCGTTATCATGATACCTGATGCTCTAAAACACAACACCTAACAATGGCCAAGTGTAACCAATGAAAGGGACTGCAGTATAGTGGCACAAGTAATAAATATCGAATCCACGGGTCTCTAGAGTTACTATTACTCAGCTTCAGTTCATTATCTAGCAAACTAGATTAAGGATTGATTAACTAAACTACTCTACTAACTAAACTAAGTAAAACTACTAATTACAGTTTGGGAACTCACTTAGGTATGATTCCCCCTAGCTCCTCAATTAGGTCCAAGTTGTAATTCATTTTGGTTGATTTACTGTTGATTAAACTGCGGAAGATCCGACAGTAGCTTGGAATCTCTTAAGCTGACCAAGCCCTCTCAGTCTAACTATCCGGCAGACGACTAGTCTTCACCGGGATAGAAAGCTGAAGCAATAAGCACAGAACTCCACTACTGGAATTGGATTCCAGTACAAAGCAGTAAACTGGCTAACTCTCGTATAGCCAATCTCCTACTACCGAATGATGAGACTCTAGCAACCTAATCAGATTCTATCCATCTCAGATTGCAGCAGGAATCAGGAAAAGTTGATCAGACTTCAATTGACTCAATAAACATGCATCATTCGATTATAATCAAACAATATAGCATCCAAAACTTCATACAAGAAAGATCCTAACTCATGGAACTAAGGTTCCTCAAAACCTAAGTGAAGGGAAGTTACTCCATAGAGAAGAGAGAGACTGCAGAAATCTAATCTAGATCTTCAATCTCCATCTCCAAGCTTGATTCCCGAGCTCCAATGGCGAAGAAATCCTCCAAAATAGCTCCAAGAATGTTCCCAAGTCGCTCTCTCTCTCTAGGGTTCGTCCCTTGGGTGTTTGGGATCCAAAACCCAGCTCTCCCTCTTCTTTGGTTCGGAATTTGGCTTAAAACCAGGAAATCCCGACTCGCACGGCCAGGGTGCACGGCCGTGCATATCACCATTCTGGCCGTGCAACTCAAAACGCAGCGTGTCATTTAGTCGAACTTCAGCCCTCTCGCACGGCCAGGGTGCACGGCCGTGCGAGCTTCAGGGGTTGCCCGTGCGTGTCCTCGGCATAAGGCGCACGGCCATATTGCTCACGTGCACGGCCGTGCAACCTCCCTGGTCTGCCCGTGCAGCTCCCCAAAAACCTCGCCATTCGTCCGTTCTTCGTCCAATCGACCCCAGACTCGCTCCTAAGGCTTCATTCACGTACTAGGACCTGAAACATCACAAACAAGCACAACCTAGCGTGAAATCGGCCTAAAACACGAGAATCAACACCTCAAACGGTGTAAGAATGGGGGTAAAAACATGTGTAAATGACGGTCTATCAAACTCCCCCACACTTAACCGTTTGCTTGTCCCCAAGCAAACCTAACTCAAACCAATGCAACTCTCCAGACCTCTATAGCAACAAACAACCCGGATCGTAGGTAGAGGACTTCCTAGATCATTTAGCAGCTTACGAGGTCAACCGACGCACAAGTCATCTCATAACTTCTTCGGCGAGTCGGCATCATGGCAAATAGTGAACAGAGGACAAATGAATTATGGATGAAGAGATTCTCAAAAACAAAGGATCATGGACTCACATTTTTCAAGGTGCTCTATTTTCTTCTTGAAGATGGTTGAGACCCCCTTTTTTTTTTCCTGTTTTGCTTGTTTTCTGATATTTTTCTTTTCTTTTCTTTTTCAAGGGTCCCAACCTGCTCTCACCGGCCATGCCAGGAGCGGATGTCTCGAGCCTCGTGCGGGGGAAAGACATGTAAGGGGGCTGGAGGTAGTAGGTGGAAATTGGGAACGAATTCCCGTCTCCCCTTACACACTTTCGCCCTATTCGCACGGGAGACGTTTATTTTGAAGCACATTTTCGAGCACCTGTTACTTTCAAAACATGATACAAGAGTCCATGACAGGTAGAAAATCCACAACACCACACAATTCAAGGGTCCTAAGATCACTAATTCACTCAATCAACCAAGTTTATATGAAGAAGAAATGAGACTTCTTAAATGCATCAACATCCTCCATAGTGCTACACTACCTCCCTAGGTTGCATATTACTATAAAGACTGTCAATTCAAAGCATACTGAGCAGGCAATTGCAAGGAAACACGTACTTGGAGCCCTCAAATTTAAAAATTTGGACAGTGGACTAGGCTCCAAGCACACAAACAGCCAAACATTCACCCGCATAAATAATCGAACATCCCCCCACACTTAAGCACGACATTGTCCTCAATGGAGGAAAGATAAGGAGGGTAGAACGAAGTTACCAGATCAAGGGTGAATGATGATGTACGGGTCAGGCGGTGCATTCCAGAAAGAGAGAGTAATCAGAACACAAACACCACACAAAATCTCACAAAGGTTGAGTTATTGACTCTAAAATCAAATAACAAAACTGACTCAACCGAGGAGAAATAGAGAAAGAAATGCAAACCGACTGGTTGGGTTGCCTCCCAACAAGCGCTTCTTTCACGTCGTGAGCCGGACGATGGCTCCTAAGTTTCGGTCCATGAGAGAACCTCCTTGAAGTTGAGGTTCTCGTCGATGAGGTGGAGTCTCAAGTCACGAGCATCTGGTGTGGCAGGTGATGAAGGCTCATGTACTTGATGCAGATGAAGTCTCCACCCTCGAGACCTCTTCTTCTCTTCTCTCGTCTCATTGCCCCAAACCAGATATGACAGCATCGATTGGCCACCATCGCGTCCACCAAGAGGGACCGATGTCGATGTGGCCTTGGTCTGGCAAAGAGACACTGCAAATGGGTCCTTGCCAAGCAGTTCCTCGAAGTTTGGTGGAGATATCACATGTAACTCATGGCCGGTGCAGGCCTCTTCCACCTTAACTTCATCCTCAGCCTGGACGCCAATTGCTTCCTCAACCCCCCTTTCTTCTCCAAAATGTGGTCTCTCCCCTGGGAAAAGATCAAGAACCACCTCTTCTTTTCTTTCTTCCTCATCATCCACAACTTTCTTCCTCATCCTTGCTCGCTCTTCTTCTTCTAGAACAGATTGGAGAGCAAGTCGCCAAGCAATTTCTTCAATGGGATCATCTTGCATCTCCTCGCACGAGCCCAGCATGTTAGAGCATAAATGAGGAAAGGTGTGGTCTGCAACCAAAGGACTTTCCTGATCATGGTTATCATGGGAGTTCTCTGTGATAACTTCTGTATGCTCCTCAACGCTCCCATAGCCTTTGTCATCCTCCACCTCTTCTAGCGTGGCAGCAGAAAAGTGATCTTGAGCAAGATGTGAGCAAACTTGCTTCACCCACTCTGTTTGCTTCGCTGAGCGCTGAACAGTCTCCTCCATATCATGGAGAAATGAGGGATCGGAAGTGGCAAGGGCTTTGATTTGAAGATCCATCTTGGAGCATGATTTCTCAGTGTCTCGAGCAAACTGCTCCACGAGAAGCCTTAATTGTTCGTTCGGATCCTCCAGTGAAGTGTAGCATGGCTCTGCAGAGTGGCCCGTGAAGGCCGCCATGGGTAACTCCAGCTCCGATGGCCCTTCTGGTTGTGGGAGAAAGTCTTCTTGGTAATGAGGTTGTTCTTGATATGCCCAGGGGTCTGATTGTTCTCCGTAGTAAGGGGGTTGGTACTGGAACCCGAATCCATAGTCTTCTCCTCCTTGATTGCTGTAGGGAGTCGCGGGGTAATACCACCCGGATGGTGGTGGATACCCCCAAGATTGGAGAAGCCATTAGGATCCATGATTCAGATCTGCACCAACAAAAACAAAAACACCCAAGTGAAAAGCAAGGGTGGAAAAGAAAAGAAAAACGCTAAAGTAACAAACTTCTGCCTTTCCTAATACTCTAGAAAGTCCCCGGCAACGGCGCCAAAAACTTGATGCTCTAAAACACAACACCTAACAATGGCCAAGTGTAACCAATGAAAGGGACTGCAGTATAGTGGCACAAGTAATAAATATCGAATCCACGGGTCTCTAGAGTTACTATTACTTAGCTTCAGTTCATTATCTAGCAAACTAGATTAAGGATTGATCAACTAAACTACTCTACTAACTAAACTAAGTAAAACTACTAATTACAGTTTGGGAACTCACTTAGGTATGATTCCCCCTAGCTCCTCAATTAGGTCCAAGTTGTAATTCATTTTGGTTGATTTACTGTTGATTAAACTGCGGAAGATCCGACAGTAGCTTGGAATCTCTTAAGCTGACCAAGCCCTCTCAGTCTAACTATCCGGCAGACGACTAGTCTTCACCGGGATAGAAAGCTGAAGCAATAAGCACAGAACTCCACTACTGGAATTGGATTCCAGTACAAAGCAGTAAACTGGCTAACTCTCGTATAGCCAATCTCCTACTACCGAATGATGAGACTATAGCAACCTAATCAGATTCTATCCATCTCAGATTGCAGCAGGAATCAGGAAAAGTTGATCAGACTTCAATTGACTCAATAAACATGCATCATTCGATTATAATCAAACAATATAGCATCCAAAACTTCATACAAGAAAGATCCTAACTCATGGAACTAAGGTTCCTCAAAACCTAAGTGAAGAGAAGTTACTCCATAGAGAAGAGAGAGACTGCAGAAATCTGATCTAGATCTTCAATCTCCATCTCCAAGCTTGATTCCCGAGCTCCAATGGCGAAGAAATCCTCCAAAATAGCTCCAAGAATGTTCCCAAGTCGCTCTCTCTCTCTAGGGTTCGTCCCTTGGGTGTTTGGGATCCAAAACCCAGCTCTCCCTCTTCTTTGGTTCGGAATTTGGCTTAAAACCAGGAAATCCCGACTCGCACGGCCAGGGTGCACGGCCGTGCATATCACCATTCTGGCCGTGCAACTCAAAACGCAGCGTGTCATTTAGTCGAACTTCAGCCCTCTCGCACGGCTAGGGTGCACGGCCGTGCGAGCTTCAGGGGTTGCCCGTGCGTGTCCTCGGCATAAGGCGCACGGCCATATTGCTCACGTGCACGGCCGTGCAGCCTCCCTGGTCTGCCCGTGCAGCTCCCCAAAAACCTCGCCATTCGTCCGTTCTTCGTCCAATCGACCCCAGACTCGCTCCTAAGGCTTCATTCACGTACTAGGACCTGAAACATCACAAACAAGCACAACCTAGCGTGAAATCGGCCTAAAACACGAGAATCAACACCTCAAACGGTGTAAGAATGGGGGTAAAAACATGTGTAAATGACGGTCTATCAATACCCCTTTGAAATCTGCCAAAAATGGATCCTAAAATAATATGCCCAAACCAGTGTTTAATAGACTTGATAATCGGTGCAGAATAGCCTCTAGCCGAATCCGTGATTAGTAGCCTTGAAAATCCAAGGAAAATGACTTTTCAAAAAATTGCCTAGAAAATTAGAAAATTGCCCTACAGAAAAAGGGCGCCCAAATCAACGATTAATAGACTTCATCATTTGTGAATTATAGCCTCGTCTAGGCAATTTATGCTGATCTATAACCTTAAGAATCCAAGAAAAATGGCCTTTTGGAACAAATTCCCAAAAAATCACTAAAATGCCCTTCGAAAAAAATCCACCCATGTTGGCGATTAATAAACTTTATCACCGGTGGATAATACCCTCAAGCTGAATCCATGATATGTTGTATTCAAAATCCAAGGAAAATGGTATGTTGAAAAAATCGCGCGAAATCTTTGATGAATTGGACATGAAGTGGGATCATGTAAGCTTCTTTCTGGCAAAGAAATGTCCAAATTGCTGAGTCAAAAGGTGAAGGATTGAACAAGGTACTTATTTAGCATTGTTGAGGTTAAATCACCAGGTGAGATTCCTTCCTTTCTACTTCCCGTGGTTCAAGAGTACTAAGATGTGTATGGCCATTCTATACCTTACCTCCCTCGAGAACTTGTGACCATTTTATACCCTTACAACCCAATTCTCACTCTGTCAATCTTTGTCCCTATCGCTATCCCTTACCGCATAAAGACATTGTAGAAAAAATGACACAAGAAATGTTAGAAGCTCACCTAATCAAAACTATCAAGAGTCCATTTGCTTCTCCTGCTCTGCTAGTGACCAAAAACGATGGAACCTCTCATTTTTGTGTTGATTATAGGCATCTTAACTCCATTACAGTGAAGGTTAAGTTTCCTATTCCTGTCATAGAGGATTTGTCGGATGAGTTAAGGGGCTCTAGCTTACCATAAGATTAGCATAAAACAGCCTTCATAATCCATCATGGACACTTTGAGTTCCTTGTTATGTCGTTTGGCATAACCAATACCCCTGCCACCTTTCAAGCCCTCATGAATTTCATATTCTCTGCTCATCTCAGAAAGTTTATTTTAGTTTTTTTTAATGATATCTCAGTCTATAGTTCAGATGAACCAATCATATTAAACACCTCCAAATCACCCTTTCAATCCTCAGACAACATACCTTTTATGTAAAACTCTTCGAATGTTCTTTTGGCCAAACACAGGTTGAGTACTTGGGCCAATAATCACCAATGAAGTTGTCTCTACTGACCCTGCGAAGATCTCAGCAGTCAGCAATGGTGTCATGTACCAGGACAATGAATGTGAAGGAGCTCAGAGGTTTTTTGGGTCTCACTGGCTACTATAGGAAGTTTGTGAAGGATTATGGTACCATTAGTAGACAACTGACAACTCACCGATTTACTTAAGAAGGACGGGTTTATCTAGAATTTTATGGCTGATGATGCTTTTCAACGACTCAAGATGGCCATGACCGAAGTACAAGTATTAGCCTTACCAGACTTTAACAAACCTTTTACCCTGGAGAAGATGCAAGTGACATTGGCATTGGGGCTGTTCTATTACAGGAGGGAAGACCAATTGTTTAGCTCATCGAGGACTTGGGAATTAGGAAGCAAGGCATGTCAGCATATGAGAAAGAGTACCTAGCAGTCCTAATGGTTGTCACTAAGTGGAGACATTACCTCGAGGGAAGGTAGTTCATCATTTTGGTGAGAGCCTACAGTATTTGTTGAGGCGTAAGATACACACTCCCATACAGAAAATGGACGGGTGAAGCTACTTGGTTTGGATTACGAGATCAGGTACAAACAAGGAAGGTACAATCAGGTGGTTGATACACTTTCTAAGAATCTTGAGTTCTTTGAGGGCAGTTGTCAATCAGTGACATCAGTTTTACCTGCTTGGCTGAGTGAAGTGGAATCAACTTACAAGGCTGATGCCTGGCTCAAAGAGGTCATGGTAGAAGCTATAGTACCTACGGCGGGACCACAAATTCATACTTTCAAGCATGGATTACTGTACCCCAAGTCAGCCATTTATATTGGCAGCAATGGAACTATGAGGCAGTAGGTTTTACAGATGTTTCATGAGTCTCCGGTGGGAGACACTCAGGGACTCAGGCTACTTTTTAAAGGTTGAAGTCTTATTTTTGGGGGCCTTGTTTGAAGAAGGAAGTAAGGAAGTTCATTGTTGATTGTGACATCTGCTAGAAATGTAAGAGTGAGAATGTGCCTTATTATGGTGTTTTGCAACTATTACCTATGCCTGAGGGTTCTTGGCAACATATATTAATGGACTTCATTGAAGACTTACCTAAGTCTGGTGGTATGGTAAAGAGGTCATATTGGTGGTGGTTAATCGATTTTCTATGTATGGCCGCTTCTTTGGTCTCAGTAGACCATACACAACAACTTTAGTTGTCTAGGTTTTTATGGATGGGGTGTTTAGACTTCATGGTATGCCATAGTCAATTGTGTCAGATAGAGATGTGATCTTCACTAGAAATTTTTGGACCAATCTGTTTGCATTATAGGGTACTCAACTCCACTGCTCCATAGCGTATCACCCTCAGAATGATGGTCAAACTGAGAGGTTGAATCGTTGCATTGAAGATTATCACATATGCATGGTTCTTACTGGTTCTGCTACTTGGTTTTCTTGGTCACCACTGGGTGAATGGTGGTACAACACAATTTTCATCACAATTTATAAATCATACTCTTTGAGACTTTGTATGGGTATTGCCCTTCTCAAATTGGAATTCAGAACCCACTTCCACTTTGATGGCAGCTATGGATGACAAGCTGAGGGAGCATCAAAGATTGGTTGGGCTTCTCAGGCATAACTTCGCAAAAGCTCAGAATCGTAAAAAATATATGGATGACAAGCATAGGATTGAACGAGTGTTTAAAGAAGAAGATTGGGTGTATTTGAAGCTAAGGCCATATCACCAAATCTCAATGGAGCATAGGGAAAATTAAAATTAGCTCCTAAGTTCTATGGGCCTTTTTTTGGTGTTACAAAAGGTTGGAGCAGTAGCTTATAAGTGCAGCTTCCTGCTATTGCTACCATTCACAATGTGTTCAGTGTGTCCCAATTGAAACAGGCTAGAGGGGTACAAATTCGAACTCAACCATCACTACCAAATGCCGATGGTGCTGGAACTTTGAAGCTGGAACCTACTGTAGTCTTAGCCAGAAGGGTAGTTGCTCAGAACAATAATGCTTTCACCCAACTCTTAATTCAATGGTCGCACTAGTAAGAGGAGGACGCCACCTGAGAGTTCTTGGAGGAATTGAAGTAGAAGTTTTCCGACTTTAAGACTTGAGGACAAATCTCAGCCGAAGAGGTGGGACTTTTAACAGTTGGGGTCGAATTGTAATTAGATAAAAATGGGAGGACTGTTGTGTAAGTAATGGTTGATAGCTGTCAATCCAGGATCGAATAAGTGATTATCCGTTACAAAGTTTATTAGAGGCATTGAGAAACGCGAAACAACTTTTCCCTCCCGGCCAATACCTCTCTCTCTACCTTTCCCTTCTCTCTCTTGTTGTTCTCATTCTCATTTCTCTCTGCAAACTCTCTTCTTCTTTCCTAATTCTTGCTGGGCAGATTCAGATTGTTAGACTATCCACAACAAGATGGGGAAAAGATGGAAAAAGGGGAAAAAAGGGTGGAAAATCTCACAATCGGGTAGAGAAAAAGGAAAAAAAAGGAAGGAAAGGAAAAAGTGGTTGGGTTTTTCCTTCACTAGAGGACAAATGGAGGAAGGAAAAAGGAAAAGGGGTAGGTGGGACCCGTGATTTTTTTTTGTTTTATTTTTTTGATTGGTTCAGTTGTTTTAATTAGTGATTATAGTATGTTATTGGCTAGCAATCATATTTTTCAACATTCATATTTTTTAACATCAATATTTCCTACAATCTTATTTCCAACATCTATATTTTTCGTTATTGATGACGTCATATTTAATTAGTGATAAAAAAATTATGTCCAAATTAAAATAAATTATATCGATATGTTCTTCTTAAGTAATTATTACTGCTTATATAAAAATTATGAACAAATTATCTTAATAAAGTGATGAGATCAACACTAAATTGATTTTGGCAAAAAAAAAAAACTCTTATCAATTAGACAATTACCATATTTTCCCTTCCCACCCATTGTGGCCAAACCATTTTCCAAACTCTCATTTCCCTATTTTCCCTACCACCATTGTGGATGGTCTTACAAACTAGATGAAGCATCACCCACCAGATTTTTTATTTATTAATTTGAATAATATAAAACTGGAGAGTCGAGACCAATATTTTCAAAGCATTCACACAGCCACGACGATATTTGGACAAAAGAGAGAAGTGCAGAAGAGAGCTTGATAGAGAAAGGTTGGCGGCTACAGACCTACCTCCTCAAGCATATTTAAACTATTTATTAGGAATTTCAATTTCCCCGTCGTCTAATATCATAATCCATCCATAATATTAATAGTTTGTGTTTTGTGTAATTGGACTTTATCAAGAAAACGGTCCTTAAATTAGTCTTTTCTCCAGCCCCTTTTGTTTTCTCCCTCATTCCCTTCAACTCTGTCCCAAAAGTGTCAACTAATCTCGATTAGTCAATTAAGATCCAACCATAGAAGATTGAGAGAGAAAAAAAGTCATTTTCGTGAAGTATTCAATATTTTTATTTGTAAACTTCAATCAAGGATCTTTACATGTTAAACCAACTTGTCCATTGTTGATTAAATGGTTTTTATGTATATATATATATATCTTTTGTTCTCTTTTACATTTCTATCATAATCATAAAGAACACATAAAATGTCATATATGATCTCCAATCATGATTCTAGAAAGAAGTGTTGAGAATTTTTTATATAAATACAATTTTGATTTGGTTTGAGTCGAATAAACTAACCAGATCAAACCAAATCTCATATCGCATTTATATAGTCACATATTTATTTAATTCCAGTTGAGTAGGATCGGCGTGTACTACCAATGCGATATGTAAAAACTATAATTTCATTAATTTCAATGCTAAAATGAAAGATTTTTAGTCCAAATGAAAGATTCTTCTTTCGTTCGTTCTGGGTGAAAGGAAGCCCAGGATAATTTTTGTATACAACTTTCAACACTTCATTTTCACCTACCAATCTACCATAAAGGGAAAGTATATGTTAATATTAAATATTTCGGTTATTTGTATATTATATATTTGAGAAAATTTTGACATCTAATATTTCTACTAATTATTTATTATGTTTACTTATATTCACCACAGACGGTTTATTTTTCACTCACTCTCATTAAATTCTTTTAACACATTCAGGTACATCTCCTGAAAAATTAGATTATATACGTAAATATAAATGAATCTGCGTGAATAATTCATTGTGTCATATGAAAAATATACACGAATTATAAAATATCCGCCTCTTTAAGACAAGAGACACGATCGAGCCGGCGAGTAGTGTCCAGTCGTATGCACGGATTAGGTTTTGATCGTTCTCAGTGTTCCTTGTTGATGCGATTGATGCAACTGGTGGGGTAGTAGTAGCTTGGTCCCTCGGGGTTGATGCCTTGGTGTTTTTTCATTCCAACTTCTGTATTTGCACCCAAATCAATGAAGTTGATTTTTTCTTACGTTGTGATTTCAGTTTACATTAGCTGTAATGTCGCAATAAGAGCCACCCAATTGGCTCAGCTAAGGGAGATTTGTGATACCATTCAAACACCCTTCGTGATCATAGGTTATTTTAACGCTACTCTTCATGCGAGCAAAAAAGATGGCGGGCATGATTGGAATGCGACCCAGTCCCTTAGTTTGCGTGACTTTATTCTTGACCTTGGCCTTCATGATCATGGGTATCAGGGGGACCAATTCACCTGGACAAACAGAAGAATGGGTGCGGCTTGTATCCGTGAGAGATTGGACAGAGCGTTGTGTTCTCAGAGTTGGGTTAATCGATACCCTGACACCCTGGTCAAACATTTCACGGATCAGGGGTCGGATCATCGGGCTCTCCTCCTCTCGGATAAGCCTTATACCCGTAATACTCGACCTCTATTCAGATTTGATGCTCGTTGGGTTGATAACCCGGAGGTCAAGGCGATGGTCCATTACGTCTGGCAAGAAGATATTCAGGATACTCCAATGTTCCAACTTTGGGAGCAGATTAAGAAACTTCGCCATCTTTTCTATGATTAGAGCAAGGCAGGTACGGCGAATTCTCTACGTAATATTAAAACTCTCCAGGATAAAATCGATCGGATAAAATCAATCCACCCTATTAACTAGGATGAGATCTAGCCCCTAGAAATAGAGATAAATTGCCAATGGGAGGCTGAGAAAATTTATTGGCAGCAAAAGTCTAGAGTCCGGTGGTTGAAAAAAGGTGATAAGAATACCTAATATTTCCATACAGTTACTCGGACTCGACGAAAACGAAAAATTTGTGGCTATCCTTCGGAATGACAGTGGTGACTGGATTACTGAGGAAAATGGGAAGGCAGATAATGCCAGTGTTTTTTATCAAACTCTTTTCACCTCGGAGAACCAGGTGCATAACACGGTTGATCGAGTGGCTGATCTTCCCATTGCCCATAGCATTACTCTGAAAATGAATGCTAGTCTTACGGCTGCAGTTAGGGGTGTCAGTCGGTTATTTTGGTTATAACCAGTAACCGATCGGGCGGTTATTGGCTAACCAAAATAACCACTCCCCCTACTGAAAACCGGCCGAAATAGGCTTCGTTTTCCCGGTTATCGGTTAACCGAACCACTTTTAAGACCAAAAACCATTTCGTCCAGCCTCCGATAACCGATCGAAGTTCGGTTACTTCGATTACCGGTTAGTGGATAACCAACCGATTATCTGTTTAACCGACCAGTTAACCGATAGCCGGTAACCGAACTGCCACCCCTGGCTGCAGTCCTTCCTAGTGAAGTGAGGAAAACAATTTTCTCTATGGGTTCCAAACAGGCGCCAAACTCAGATGGGTTCACTGGAAAATTCTTCAAGGCGTTTTGGGATATTGTTGGGGACTCTGTGATTGACGTTGTTTGCTCGTTCTTCACGACAAGTTGGATGCTCCGTAGTTTCAACCATACTTGGCTTACTTTGATTCCCAAGGTGGATAATGTGGAAACAATGGCGCAACTTCGTCCAATAAGTTTATGCCAGTTTATGTATAAAATAATAACAAAAATCATGGATGATCGATTGGCTTGTTTGTTGCCGCAAATAGTCTCGGAAGGGCAAAATGCTTTTATCCATGGCGCCAAATATTTGAGAATATCCTCCTAGGGCATGAATTAATGCATTATCTCAAAATCAAAAAGCATGAAAAGAAAGGGTACATGGCTCTGAAGGTTGACATGGAAAAGGCCTATGATAGAGTCGAATGATCATTTCTCCTTGTTGTTTTAGAAAACATGGGTTTAACTCTACCTGGTGTGGGTGTATTCCTGAATTCCTTAGATCCACTTTGTTTTCGGTTCTAATGAATGGCACCCCGTCGGGTTATTTCATGCCATCCAGAGGTCTGCGGCAAGGGGATCCATTGTCTCCCTTGTTATTTGTGCCCTGTACGGAGGGGTTTGCTGCTCTTCTTCAGAAGGTTATCTTGGAACAAAAACTGGAGGGAGTTAAAGTGGCTCCGAGAGCTCCCCGCATCTCACACCTCTTCTTTGCTGATGATTCATATTTACTTCTTAGAGGTACTCTCCAGGAATGTGAGAACCTGCTCGAAGAGCTTAATGAGTATGAAGAGCTTAGTGGCCAGAGGGTAAACTTGGCTAAGTCTGCAGTATGTTTTAGTAAGAACATATCCCTGCAAGACCAGGAGTTCTTGGCCCAGATTTTGGTTTCGCTATTTAGAAGAGAAGTTGCAGGAGCGCCTTCAGGGGTGGAAACAAAGGATGATGTCTTGGGCAGCTAAGGAAACCTTGATCAAATCGGTTGCTTTAGCTTTGTTATTGCATGTTATGTCCTGTTTTAAGTTACCACTATCTCTATGTCGGCTCTTGGATAAGCACGTGGCTCGGTTTTGGTGGGGCGTTGAGGAGGGACAGTCAAGGATTCAGTGGATATCCTAGAGTAACATGTGCAGGAGTAAGCATGGCGGGGGTATGGGGTTTCGCCGGTTCGAACACTTTAATCAAGCTCTCTTAGCTAAACTTAGCTGGCGTATCCTTAATGAGCCGACTTCCCTCTTAGCCCAGGTCTATAAAGAATGTACTTTCCTAATGGCTCCTTCCTCTCTGCCACGGCGCGTTCACCCCCATCTTGGGGCTGCAGAGTGTCCTTTATGGGAGATAGTTGATTGAGGTGGGCTCTCGATGGCAGATTGGTAATGGTCAAACGGCTTCTTTGCTTCATTCCAGCTGGATTCCTCGCGTCCACCCTTCTCCCCCAACTTATAATCCCCAGGTGTTGCCGGAAGGGAGTGACCCTCCGGTGGCGGAGGTTATATATGCAAGGAAAGGGCAGTGGTGTGATTCTAAACTTCGACAGTGGTTTGATCCGTCCAGTTGTCGGGCGATTAAAGTTATTCCCCTCCCACGTAAGGATGTGGCGGATAGACTTATCTGGTGTGACACGCTGGACGGGGTATTCACCGTCAAGTCGGCCTATCATCTTGCTATCTCGTTGGATAGAAGGAGAGGTCAGTGGAGATCTATGGTAAGTTGGATGGACAGGTCTAGTTGTATTCGTGTGTGGGAGGCTAATATCCCGCCAAAGTTAAAGGTGTTTGTTTGGCAAATCCTTAATCGGATTCTACCTACTACAGAGGCCCTTATTGAGAAGGGTGTCCCGGTGCTTCCTCGCTGCCCGGTTTGTTGGGAAGAGTCGGAAACAATGGAGCATTTGTTTCTTTATTGCCCGGTGACCAGCGCTCTTTGGGACTATTTAGGGTTGGAGTATCTTGGCCAAGGATTGCCTCGTCACACTTTCCCGCTTTTTTGAAAAGATTGATGTCTCTCATCCATCAACCAACTCTGTTTATGGAGGTGGTTGCTGTCCTTTGGAGGATTTGGCGATCTCGAAACTGGGTTGTCTTTGAAGGCAAGCAGTTTGGGATCCCTGCCTTGATGCGACAACTTCACCAATAGGTTGAGGAATGGATTTGTTTGCCGCTGGACCCTGTACTCCAACCCTTTGCACCTGTGTCACCTCACTTGAGCCCTGGGGGGGGGGGGGGTCTAGTTTGGTGGTGTGCATGTGGGACGGGGCTACCCGGAGTGGGTCCCATGCGGAAGGAGGAATAGTACTACTGACCCCTGCTAGAGAGATCCTTCGGGTTAATGGGGTTCAGTTTCCAAGTATGGATGACCATATGGTGGTTGAATTGCTTGTTTTGTGAGAGGCTATTTGTTGGTGTCTAGGTTAGGGCTTCACAGCAGTTACCTTTGAGGGGGATGTCAAAAGTCATCATTGACAATATCAATCAGGCGGACACTAGGGATAAACGGATGGGGGTTGTGCTGGAAGAAATTGTGCTTTCTGTGAACTTTCACTCCGGGTTTAATGCACGTTTTGTAGGTTGGCGTAACAATAGGGTAGCCCACTTGGTGGCTAGAAAGGCCCTCTCTTTGTCACCGACTATGAATTGTTTATTTAATTTCTAACTCCAGAATGTAACTACCTTTCTTGTGAATCAATATACAATTATTTTTTGTAAAAAAAACTTTTTCGTACATCTTTACTTGTCAATGTAAATTCTTACATTGGGTAGGGAGGTTGATGCTGGATTGACTTCATCTGTGTATTTGGCAGGCAGGGTCGTTTTCGAGATCGAGCCAATAGATATGTATTGGATTGATCTGTTGAATTATAAAGTAATTGACAGCTGCTTCCAATTCCATGAAAGCAATGAGGGAAACAACTGTGTTAATTAAGTTTCCAATAGTTTTGTGACTGCGGTCGTACATGTCTTGGCTACAGCTTCATTAATTTCTAAACCTATTTTCTTCGCATGGTAGTTATATACACAAGAAAATCCCTCTCGGGAATTCTTTCAATGTGTGGAGTGAAAGTAGAACAATTGAGACTTTTGCAGGTAACTACGTCTAACGTCTACCATACGTCTACCATGCTCAACAAATCTCTTTCAATATATCATACTAGACAATTAATCACAAACTAAATGCCAATTCGATTCCGAAAATTGTTCTTGATATAACCCAAAGCTAATAAAATCTCTCAACACTTGAAATTGCAACTGATAAAGTAAATACAAGTTTGAGGAGCAAACATTTTCTTTTAATTCACAAAATAACTCATCATGTTTAACAAAATGATAATAATTTTCAAAATTCTGTGGAAGCAAAGAATCAGAAAGGTGACCAAACTTTCTTATGTTATTCTAACCGACTCGTGGTGACTGAAAAAACGACGACCTCTGTAGGAAAAATTGAAATGAAAGTGAATGATCAATTTAATTTTAAAAGTTAAACGACTTCTATGTAGATTAATTTATGAGACTGTATTGGCTATGACTTAATACTCCTATCTGGTACTTAGTATAGATTTATTTTAAACAATACCTGACATGTTGGATGAAGATGCTTGGGTATTGGATGATATACCTTCTGTTTATTCTTTTTTTCATCATAATTATTAGTTTTTGGGTTGGAATTCACTCTTTTTGTGCAGGCAAGGACTTATTGATATTAAAATCACCATAAATAAAGAAAAACTCTGAATTATTGAAATAATTTTTGTGCATGCAAGAACTTATTGATATTAAAAGCCCCTAATAAAGAAATACTCTGAATTATTGAAACAACCTAATTATCAGCCTTAAGTGTTAAAGGAATAACAACATCAACAAAAAATAGATAGGTTACTACCTTCAAACCAACATTCACTTGTCATAAACCTGAAAAATCAGAAGACTCATCAACCGAAAGATAGACAATAATAAAAGAACTCAACTTCCATTGTTGTATGGTTGTGTGTATAATGAAGAAAGCAATCACATTGCTCATGGGAAAGTAGCTAGGCAGAAGGAAAGAAGACTGCATCCATGATTTCACAATAAGTTGGAGAGGGCACACGTGCATGCATTTCAATCTTACTTTCTCTTTTGTGGTTGAAGGAATGCGTTGTCTACCACAGCTGGCTAAGCTGCAGGCTCTTCAATATCATTGCTCAAAGTAAAACCAAAGAAAATCAACTACATTTGATCCATAAAACAGTTAAAACTTACAACTAGATCTAAACGTTAGACATTCAACGCAAACGACACTTAAAAATGCACGGCAACTTATTTATTATGTACGTACATATACAATCCATAAATTTAACGCAGTAAAAAGCTAAAATATTTTTTTGTTCCCCACCACATTTCTCAATGATTTTTACAAATTGAGATAGTCAACCACCAAGATACACGGGGGATTGAATTTTCAAGCACATAGATATGCATGCATGTCCTTGGCCACATATAGACTGCAATCACACTAGTTCCAAAAAGGATGGATGGATTTTTTTGTGATTCAGAGTGCTTATGTTTTGGCCAAAAAGGAGCATTTGTCCTGTTGAAGAGACCTATTTGCGTAAAACTAAATTCATTTCCCCCCACAATATTAAAACCCTAGCTAGGCTTATGCTCCCCTCAACAAGCAAACAACCAACCTATAGGCTTGTAAATGCATACACAATTAGTCCTTTCCCCAAATGTTCCCTAGATGAACACAAAAACCTACTTTTTAATCCAACATCTCTCTACCACTACTATACAAGACTACCAAAAAATGCTGTCTTTCCCACTAACTTATATGTACAGCTCAGCTATATATATGTAGACACCATGCAGAAAGAAAAGAAAGAAGAAGACTATCGGTTTTTTTTTTTTTTTGGCAGACATATGAATATGATACTTTGAGCACTCCAATGCTGGCTAGCTAGCTAACTAGTTCTGCCATGCATCTATCTCCATTTGATTCTCTTCTTTCCACAGAGAGAGACAAAACAGACAGACAGTCCCCATATGCAGATCATGATATAGGTATCTATCTATATATATCATTATTTTATGATGTACATATATAATTGTTTTTGTGAAGACTACCATGACAAATAAGCCCACAACCCAACCTGCAAATTATGTACTATTGTATAAGTATGCATGTGTCTTTCTTGGTTATCCCAAGAACTTAACTTCAACTTCATCCCACCATAAACTCACTCTTGTACCTATATGCCATGGTCAACCAAATAAGCACAAGGCACAAACAGCAAAAACAACAAAAACCCCATATAGTAGATACATAGTCTACATAGGTCATAAACCAATGGGTTTCAATAATTCGAGTTGTTGAAAGAGATCTATGTGTAGTGTTTAACTATTTCTTTATACACACCCCTCAAACGAAAGCCTACTCAAGTTTGCACAGGTCCACCATATCATGTACTTTAAGAGCAACAGGTTAACATTTGTGGGTCGTGAGTACTTGAGCACATGACTAAAAACAAACTAAATATGATATCATGTCATAAACCAATTGATCCAATAACTCGAGTTATTGGATAAGAAAATCTATGTATCTTAATCACTTTCTTAGAATATATAACTACAAAGAGGGTAACTTATGTAAAATACCTTCTTTCATTTTCACTTCTTTCCTTTTTGGGTAGTCTTGGTACAAGATGTGACACACAAACAATAACAACTCAATGCAGCTGGCTCCAGGGAAGAAAAAAGCAAGTACCTCAAGATCTCACTCAGAATGACTACCGTGTCCTCATCATTCACAAAGTCAGATCTAGAGTACTTGCCATCACCCTGCAGGCACGCTTATTAACACCACCATAGCTACAGTACTTATCATAATCTTCCTCACGACTCCTAATAAACAGTCCACCACGGTAGTACTTCTTAAACTCCATTAGCATCTCCATCTCCTTCGATCCACCCGCCGGCGGCTTCGAGGATGAAGACGAAGACAGAGAAAGAGACAAGCTACTCTCATCAACAACATCATCAGCATTAGTTGTAGTACCATGATGGCTGTTCTTACCTACCTTAAATTCATCCTCATCATCATCGTGATCCTCAACCGTTTTCGCAGCAGCTTTCACTGTGAGGGACAGATCCAAGTCTAAGGAGCTCTTGTTGGAATCATGACCATGAGATGGATCCCACGTAGGCTTCCTTTTGAGACCGCCATTAACGTTGCTGATGCTCGACCAGGATTCGTGGAAGGTTTTAGTGGAGTCGATGGTGCTGGTTGTCGGTTTGGTGAACAAGAGCTTATTGCTGGCTGCCTCGAGAGCTTGGTGGTTGGTGTGAGTTTCGATGGGAGTGGTTATTTGGGAGGGTAGTATCCCTCTGAGGGAAGAATTATAAGGGAGAGTAGTACTACTGTTGTAGTTTCCATAAAGGCCACCATGTTTGGCTCTATTGAGCAATGAGGAGCTATAGCTTGTGCCGTACATCTGGTTCCCTCTCCAAGAAACGCCATCTCCGTATCTACATAGATACAAAATTACAGATCGATCGATGAGCTTCAAAATGAACAAGGATTTCGTCCAGTGGTAGTGTTACTGGTCTTTAATCCGGAGGTACTACCAGGTTAGAATCACTCAAGTAGCACCTAATGATAAAAACTAATATGAGAAGAGCTTAATTATTACATGGTTAGATGTAATGACAGGTTTTTTTGTCTACCTGAAACCAGTTGATGGAGGCCTTTGGCTGAAGCTTTGAATCATAGGAAGCTGGCTTAGGTTGTAGACATGGTGTTGATGATCCCTTCCTTGAAATAAAAGTGCTTGGTGATGCCCTGAAATCAATTAGAATGAAATCCCCCACCAAAATTCAGAGACCAAGATTGAAGTTGAAGGGAAACCCTAATTTCCTTATTTTGTTATATATTAGACTAGACATGATGAGATTTAAACTCAGGATTTTGTCCCACCTTGATTTGGATCGTCAAGCTTCTTGCTTCTGAACATCTGAAATGAGAAAAAAAAATGAAAAATAAAAATTAATTCAAACCCATTGGAGATTAGGAGCTCTGGAATCAGTCCCACCCAATCAATCAATCCAAATGGACTTTTGAGAAACTGTGGAAAAGAAATTCAGAAGAGAGAGGGGAAGAAAAATGGATACATATGTATTATTGTTTTTCCTTTAAAAATATATATTTTCCAAAGTAATAAATACATACTTGAAGATGGCTTTTGACATGAGCTATGCTGAGTCCTTTGATGTTCATCAACTGAAGGACCAACTTCGGCGTTGCTCCTGCGCAGACGTGGAGAAATTGATTCACAGAAATTAATTATGGAAGAAATATATGTGTAATTGAAGGCCAACAACCAACGAAAAAGATAAACGAGCGAGAGAAGTGGGATTGAAAGAACTAACTGTCTTGGCCGCCGAGCCTTTCAACAGCATGAAGGAAGCAGAGATGGAGATCGGGTGTCCACCGGAGCCGTGGCATCTTCGACCGGTTATACTTCCTCACAGATCCACCACCGCCACCCTTGTTGCTTTCGTCGCCGCCGATCTCTTCAACGGAGCTACTAGTACTGTTGCTGTTGCCCTCACCACCACCACCACTACCATCTTCTTCCTCCTCTTCTTCTTCATCGTCGCTAAGGAAGATCTTGTTGGAGTAGTAGCTTGACTTTGAAGAGTCACCTCCTTCTTCTTCTTCCTCTTCCTCTTCTTGCTCATGGTGATTGTGATGGTACTGCTGATGATGATCGCTTCCCATGGAGAAGGAATTATGGGATGATAGAGAAAGGAGAAGGGGCAGCTTCATGTTGTGGAATTTGGAATGATGAACTGTTTGAGTTTTCCCATTTTTTTCTCTCTCTAGATGGGGAGAAGAATTTTTGGGTTTTTGACCTTAAGGGGAAGGGAATGGAGGAGGAGGGAGGGAGATGAGAGAGAGAGGAGGAGGAGGAAGACTTCTAATATTCTTGAAGACAAAAAAGGGAAAGAGAAGGTAGTAAAAGTGGTAGCAGTAGCAGTAGTAAGTAGATGATGCAACAAGTGGTGGGAAGATATGAACACACAGTGGAAGAAGGGAGCACAAGGAAATTGAAAAAAAAAAAAAAAAAAAAACAAAACAAACAAAACCCTAGCCAGCCAGTCCTTGACATTTCTACTCCTTCTTTGTCCCCATCTCCAATCAATACTTTATTATGCATGGTACAGCAGTTAGTCATGAGCATATCTAGCATACGTATGTGTATGTATGTATGATGTATCCGTTTGATATTAAATTGAGAATACCTATAAGTGGCCTTTTTAATGCATTTAGTTGAAAATAGGTTGAGAACTTAAAAGTCTCACCACTTTGACGGGTGATCAGTGCAAGCTAGCTGGGAATCAATCCGGCCTCACAACACAATTTGTGAGCCGGCAGATTAAGGCGCATATCGTGATCGTTGGATGGATATGATGAAAACATCAACAAGCGTTTTGTGCTTGATTTCAATAGTTCACCTCTGTGAACATTATAGTTGAATTGGCTGCTACTCTCAGCTCTCTCAGTGATCAAGTTCTTCAATTTTTATATATATATATATATGAGGGGTTTGTCCTAAAGAAAGAAGACCAACTAATTGTATGTATGACTGAATATGGGCCAGACCCGTCCCTGACTGAATAAGAACCCTGTCTGGCAGGCCCCTTCAAGGTCAATTTGTAATCTGACCTACCCCGCCCCTGTTTGACCTGCTTGGGCCTAGAAAAGCTTTCGGGTCGGCTGAAATCAATTAAGAAAATAATTTTTTGAAAATTATATTTCAGTATCCAAATTTATTATTACAATTTAGTATCTAAACTTTATTTTTTCACAAACGTATACATAGATTTTGGTGTGTTTTTGTTCCTTTTTATTTTCGCATTTCATTATAGTAGTTGAACTTTTAAACTCTTACAAACATGTCCAATTTGTTTGTACCCTATCTTCTCCCATCCACCCGACCCTAAGTTCACTCTACCCTATCCCACCCATACTTAGCCAAAAGATATGACCTAACCCTAGCCTCAATCAACCCGACCCTTATGATCGGCTGGGTCAGTAGATATCTAGGACCAAGCTTCCAGAGGTAAGTATATTAAGGATTTACTGCATCAATGTATGTCTCCCCACTTTTATATATGATATCAAACATCTAGGTTATAATGGGACCCAAACTTATACTACACTTGCCAATCACTTTTTTTTTAGACCTGGCAATCGGGTCGGGTTGGGTAATTTCGGGTTGGGAATCTCGTGTTACGGGTCTTCACGGGTCGAGTCATGATGGGTATGCTGATTTCGGGTCAAATATTGACCCAACCCATCGGGTTTCGAGTCGAGTTTCGGGTCATTTCGGGTCATGAGCATTCTCAGAAACAATATCAAACATGCTTCATAAATTTTTAAAGAACACAAATTTTTACGTATGTGCGACAATAGTTTGCTTAGCACATGTCAATTAACAAATGCTCACTCCTTCCATGCTAATGAAAAGAAATACAAATTGCATAAATTGTCAAAAAAACAATGACGAAAGTAATACTATTACAATAAACAAATGATGTTTGATTATCTTAACAATCGAAACTTGTCTTTCAAATCCTAATAAATTTTTTAAACATCTCACCAAAGTATGAGTGATTTTATCATTTTGAGAGTAACATATGCAATGAAATGGGTCTAGCGGGTCGACCCACAAACCAACCCAACCTGATCCAAAAACTATGGTTTGATCGGGTTCGGGTCATTCGGGTTTCGGTTTATAAAAACCTCAACCCATTCTCTATTGTTCGGGCGGATTCGGGTCGGGTCCTCATTTGCCAGGTCTAATTTTTTTCGTTTCCAAGATATGTATGAAGAAATCAAATGGAATTATCTCTAGATTACCTAGATTGAATTATTCTCATGGTCTTTGTTTAGGTGAAACTCTTGTATATATGAATATTAGCTAACCATCAAGCATTGACATATTAGCGCCTCTTTAAATTGGTAGCATTGAGGAATAAAGGGTGCAAGGAAAGAATGTTCCTAAAGACATTCAAGGGGAAATAGAATGGGGTCAACTTTTGGACATTTTTTATCGGATAAGATTGAACAACCCGAATTGCTTGTAGAGTTGAACCTTAGATCTACGGTTAAAACTCCAAATTTGGTTGTTGAAATCTGTTTCAAAATGTGTATAGTATGGATCCATTTGGGAGCATTGTAAAATATCAACAAATTTATCCGTTTTTTTTTTTTTTTTTTTTTTTTTTTGGAAGAAGAATAGATGATGTAGGGATGATGAGAGCTAGCCAGGGGCATGGAATTGGGGTTGAGGGGGCCTATTGGGAAAGTTGCTGGCCTGTCACTCACTCAATAATCTTAATCTGTAGATACAAAGAAAATGACAACTTCCTTCTTTGCAATTAATTACAAGGATTTTAAATTCCTACAGAACAAATGATACATATAATGCCAACGAGAATCACGGATTTGGCTTTTGTCACTATCTCATAACGACACACCTTTGTTTGCCATTTCCACAATCTACACAGAAGAAAATCAAAAGATAATACAATAAAAATAATAAAATAATAATAATAAATTATCCTAATTAACCTTTGATCTTCCTATGTCATCAATGGCATATATCAATAACATGATAGAGTATAATAGAACCGTAGGGGTAGTAGACTGAATATTTTTGTTGTACTGAAATTACACATCCTAACAAATTCATCCAGATCAATCGAGAAAAGAATAAATGCAACATTTCACAACAAAAACAAATAATGCAAAAGAAATACATAGCTAATTACTAACTAGCTAGTTAATCACAAATGTAACTTAAGAAAATAAATTAAAATTTTGATAAGAAAGTATCTCGAGACCCGTGATCAATATAATTGTCACATGTCGACGCAACGCCTAAATCCATCACAACGATTACAATAAATTGTCATGCATCGAAATCTTTTAAACTCAAATGGGAGAAAAGATAAAAATTTAATTTATCTTGATTGGATGAAGCTCCGATGGTACTTTCATCACTATGTTATCACTAATCATGCAAATTAATAAAATGGTTCAAGATTATGGTATAATCACGTCCCTACACATGTCATTAACTGGTGCGTTTTTGGTGTGGGCCGGTCATGGGCCGCCATGCATCTAATCGGCGGAATGTAAGAGGAATCTCATCACCATCGCCATTGATTTAATCCCATCCGACGAATCTAATTCCGATGGATGATCAAAGTTTTGACTGGCTAGCTAGTTCTTGTTTGTTTCTTACTTGATTTTGATTTTTCTGAGTGAGACAACAGTGTCAGACCAACATGCGGTTTGGCCTAGGAGTTTGTTTCGGCCACGATTTGGTCGCCTATGTTTGAATAATATGCAATCCGGCTTGATAGAATTGACATGCATGATGGTTTGATTATGTCTATCCTTCAATTCCCAATGAATGTGAAACAAAAATATATAATAGAAATCTTGTTCTTATAACAAATAAAGATTCCACTACTTCCCAACTGAGTGTTTAGGGGTGGGAAAAAACAATCTTGGTGAACAAAAATGTTGGTCTTTTAGTCAAATTCGTAACCGAGTCGCATATCTAGGTTCGGAGGAGTAAACCGTTTTCGATTCAATCTAGGCCGGTAAACGTGGCGGGTGAGTTGAAAATCTTGGTTGTGGTTCGATCAATATAAACCAGGATGATTAACCTACACCCACCTCTTCTCCTTCGGCTCTTAAACAAAATCAACTACCAACCCACTGACCAGAGAGATCACCTGCTTGAGAAAAAAAAACTCTTTATCCCACCCAGCTAAACCTCTCATTTCAAAATCATAGTGTTAGGTCCTAATCTAATGAATTCCGTCGATGTGCTCTCCGATTCACTCTTTTGCCGCTCTGTTTCTGTGTTTGGTCGCCTCGATAAAGACGTAAGGAAATTGTTTAAGAGAAAAAGGCGATAGTTGGACTAGCCTATCGCGTGCCACCACAATGTCGATCGTCGACGAGACTGTCCTCTCCTATTCATTTGCATTGCATTTTTTACATTTGTGTACCCTGCCCATAGTAGCACCAAAACAGCATAGAGAACCAACGCAGCCGTGACGAAAGCTCATCAACCCTCCAAAGCAACGCGCAACCAGTTTTCCCCCTGTATTTTTTCAATTTTCTCATGGGCCACAAACCATTCCATCGAGATCCTTGCAGCTCTTCTGGCCACCGCATTGTATGTCATAGACTTCTCTTCGAACACTCTTTGATTCCTTTCCAGCCAAGTACACCACCACACGGCATGCAAAATGCAATCTCTGAACCAATCTTCAATGTTGTCCGCCTTCGAATAAGGATCAATGCAATCTCTCTACCTTGAAAGGACAAAAAGGTTTTAAAGAGATTAATAAGGCGCCACACCTCCTTCATGAACATACAGTCAATTAGCAAATGAGACACGGTCTCCTCGTCTTTGCAGCAAAAGGCAGCATCTGTTGGCCAATGACCAACCTCTCTTCTTCAAATTATCCATTGTGAGAATTCTGTTGTGGTAGACTAACCACATGAGAAAACACACCTTGCTCAGAATCACCGCCTTCCAAACTTTATGGATTAAAAAGTCTTGAGTTCCAGCTAGTGAGTCTTTCACCAGGTTCCTGTAACAAGAGCTAACAGAGGACTTGCCATTTTTGTCAGGATTCCAAACTATTCTACTCGGACTGAAAACGTTATCAGACCACTTAATGTTATCAAGAAAACTCTCACCTCGATCTCTCCCTCTCTGCCCCCCCCCCCCCTAAAAATAAATTTAAAATTAACAACCCAATTCACCAGCTCATTACCATTAAGGGATACAACGTCAGAAAGTTTAGCATCTAGGACGGCAGCGGCAGCAGTGACGGGAGGAAACGACAAAGACAACACCATCCACGGGTTCCAACAATCGTGCTAGAAAGAAATTGAAGTACCGTTTCCAGGATCCATGCTGGCGAATTTCCAGAACATATCATATTCTTTAGATATATTCGCTCATACAGATTGCGAGAAACCACTTCTAGCTTTCCCAATCTGCCAAACAGATGACGAATTGTGACATTTGTGTTGACGAACTGAATATCAGAAACGGAATAACAAAAACTGTAAATGACACACATATTTTAACATGGTTTCCCCGGAAATCCCAGGACTAGTCCATGGAAGAGATCAAGCTCTTCAAGCACTCAAGTTCACTATCAGTCTGTTGTGTTACAGAAGAGATGCGGCCAAAGGAAGATATATACACTAGGCTAGGGTTCTACGTAGCATCACCTAGCTTAGCATGGGCTTGCATGGGAGTGGGCCCAAGTACACGTATACAAATGTTCAGTACAACGTTTGGGCTAGAAATAAAGCGAAGAAAAACCCACTGTTCCGCTAACAGCCTCCCCCAAATTGATGTCGGTTACCGAGCATCAATTTGCTACTGAGATACCAATGGCGACTGGTGGTGAAAGACGTTGTCAGTAAATCAACAACTTGATCCTCTGTACGAATATAGTGTAACCGAAGAGTTCCATCCCATACTAAATCACGAACATAATGCACATGGATTTCGATATGCTTCGTTCGGTCATGAAGCACTGGATTAACAGCATTGCGAATGACACTGGTGTTATCCACAGACAAATCCATAGGTACCGAGCAGTGAACACCCATATAATGTAGAAGACGACGAATCCATTCTAGCTCAGAGGTTACCTTAGACATAGCCCGATACTCAGCCTTGGTGGATGATTTAGACACTTTGTCTTTCTTCTTGCATCGCCAGGATATATATGCATCCCCAAACTGAACACACCAACCAGACGTCGAGCGACGAGTATCTGGGCACCCTGCAAAATCATAATCAGAGTAGGCACGTAGAGTAGTGGTGTCGCGTCTAGGAAAGAAGATGCCAACATCTTTTGTGCCATGTAAATAGCAAAGTATTCGGTGGACAGTAGCGAGATGATCGACACACGGAGAGGACATATATTGACTGACCACTTGAACAGCATAGGAAATGTCGGGTCGGGTGGCGAAGAGATAGATAAGACTGCCAACGATACTCCGGTACTGTTCCCCATCAAGGAAACGCGTACCAGAATCACGACGGAGGTGCAGATTCAGCTCCATGGAGGTGGACACCGGCTTACAATCCTCGAACTGATGGTCGACAAGAAGATCCTGAATATACTTTTGTTGATTGAGGAGAATACCATCGGATGTACGAGTGATCACAAGCCCCAGAAAATAAGAGAGATAGCCTAAATCCTTGATGCTGAATGAGTCCTGTAATCCCCTTTTAAGACGCTGACTGCCTGCAGTATCAGAACCAGTGATCACCATATCATCAACGTATAACAGCAGAAGAACGATACCTTGAGAAGTGGAGCGCGTGAAGAGGGAAGGATCATTCAAGCTCTCACGGAAGCCAAAGTGTTGCAAGGTGTTGTGAAATTTATCAAACCAGGCACGAGAGGCCTGTTTGAGACCATATAACGAGCGGTGTAACCTGCAGACTTGATTATGGCGGCCAACATCATAACCGGGAGGTTTTTCCATGTAAATAACTTCTTCCAAGTCGCCGTGGAGGAACGCATTCTTCACATCCATTTGTAGAAGAGGCCAGTTTTGTTGGGCAGCAACAGCAAGCAAGGTGCGGACTGAGGACATCTTGGTAACGGGCGCAAATGTCTCATGGTAGTCAATACCAAACTCTTGCATATACCCCAAAGCAACAACACGCGCTTTGAAGCGTTCAATCGTACCATCGAGAAGCATCTTGAGAACGTAGAACCACTTACTTCCTATGACGGGAACATCGGCAAGAGGACGGTCCACAACAGTCCAAGTTTGCTTAGCATGAAGGGCGTCAATTTCGAAGTCCATGGCGCGTCGTTAGCTTGCTTGTATCGGGTCGGGATAAGAATGCTCTCTACAGCATGGGCGAGGTAGTCCTGGTAACAAGGAGGAGGTACACCCTTAGTTGAACGAAGAGAGCAGCGGGGAGCATTCGGATCCGGCGGAGAGGCAGGAGGAATTGTTGTCGTCGCCGTCGAGCTGCTGGATGAGGAGGTAGCTGGCGATCCAGTTGGTGAAGGTGGACAGGGAGACAGAGTATGAAAGGGAGCAGTGGGAGGATAATCTTCAGCTGGAGACTCATCATCATCAAAAATCATAGGAGGAGATAGTTGTGAATGAGGAAAAAAGTAGATGGATGTTTGGATGACTCGAAGGAAGGGATATTTTAAAAAAAATACGACTGAACAGGATATACGAACACGTTGAACGGAAGGGTCATAACATAAATAATCTTTATGTACATCACTGTAGCCCATAAATGCACACTTAGTAGTTTTTCACGTTACCTTAGTTCTTTCCCGTTTGGGTAGAAGAACAAAGCACAAACAGCCAAAAACTCTAAGTCGTGAGTAATCAGGATGTCGGGAATACAGTGAGTAATAAGGACTATTATTGTGAAGAACCGGAGTGACCTGGAAATTAATCAAGCGAACTGTCGTTGCGACAGCTTCGGGCCAAAAACGTCCAGGGACATTAGAAGCAATGAGCATAGCACGAGTGAGTTCCATGACATGCCTGTTTTTACGTTCAACAAGGCCATTTTGTTGAGAGATGACTGGACAAGATTTTTTACTCAAGATACCACGAAAGCGGTAGATATCACGAAGAGGGAAGGGACTAAATTCTCCGCCAGGATCGGATCTAATGATTTTAACAGTACTAGCAAATTGAGTATGGATCATGTTTAGAAACTCAGTGGCGACATCTCGAAGTTCAGATTTTTGACGAAGGAAGTAAATCCATGTAAACCGAGTTGCATGATCGATAAACGGAGCAAAATATTTAAAACCATGGCGAGAAAAGGTTCTGTAATAACAGTGGTACTCGATGGAAAATAAAAACTGACAGTTTTGGCTTCTACACAACTAGGAAAATTATGTTTAGCCGACAAATCAACATAATTTTTTCCAAGAAGAGACTTTTTAAACATAAAAGACAGACGACTTGAGTGGGGATGCCCCACGCGAGCATGCCACAAATCCCACTCTTTATTGGAAAGACTCGAAAACACATACCTAGACGGTAGAGACTCAGAACGGCAGCTTGTTTGGATTTGATGAGAAGAGTCTCCAAGCTCGTCCAAATGAAATACCCTTCCATGTTTACTCCCCCTTCCTATCTGCCTCCCCGTCTTTAAATCCTGTATCACACATCCCGTTGGGGCAAACATAACAGAACAACCTTGCTCAGTGAGCTGACCAACAGAAACCAAGTTAGGAACTAACTTAGGAACATGCATCGTCTTGAGCAAATTAATCAAATTATTTTTGACGTCCCCAATAGATTGTACTCTGAGTTTATCCCCACTTGCCACAATTAATGACATATCCTGAACCGGCTGAACTTTGTTTAAAACATTCCCATTATGCGTCATATAATTAAAACACGCAGAATCGATTAGCCAAGGGTTGGCGGGATTTTTACCTGACCCTTGCATAGTAGCAAAAGTTGCGCTAATGGTGGTGGGTAATGATCGTTGAAGCGCCGCATTTACCATCTCCTCGAAAGCTGCGGCGGACAAGCTAGAGCTGCTGCTTGCTTCAGCTCCAAGACCACCAGCAGCCTCCGCGGCATATGCAAGGCGCCCGCCAAGTCTTTGCCCAGCAAATTCCCTTCTAGTGGGACGATTCTGCCTAGTCCCATCACCAAAGTAGGAACGATCACCAGCAGCTTGAGGTTCAGGATATGGGCCGCCATTTCTTTGAGCATTTTGCTCTCTTGACCTGCACTCCAAGACTATATATATGGCCCATTCTCTTGCAATAGACACAATAGTTGCGTTGTTGACAATACTTTACGAGATGGCGCGCGCTCGTGACAGTGATGGCACTCAAGGGTAGAAATCCGGACTCTTTGTTGAAATTGTGGCCTTTCTACGGCATAGGCCGACGGTTGTGACCGCCCAGTGACAGCAGCAGCAGATATAATGGCTTCTCCTTCTCCCGGGCGAATGTCAAGTTGTGCTTGGGTTCTCAATCGAGTTTCCTCACGAACAAGTTGCCCAACTACACCATCAAAATTCAAGCCCTCTCAGTTTAGTAGATTTGATCTAATCGATTCAAATTCGGGACAGAGGCGAATTAAAAATTGAAGAATCCGACCTTTTTGGCGTTCGTCGATAGCGTCGTCATATTTGGCAGCTTGTGGACGCAATACGGCAAAGAATAAGTCTTGTTCCGTCCAGATTTCTTGGGCCGCATTAAAATACTCGGTGACACTCTTTTCTCCTTGTTCCAATCGTGCCAATGCACACTGGATCTCAAATTGACGGGCAGCATTTACCGTCGAATAGAGTGCGGAGAGATGTCTCCACATTCGATTCGCTGTTGGAAATAAGCGAAGGCTGAGACATGTGGATGCCTCAACCGATCCAAGCAGCCATGTGCGGACTCGAGCATCTTTTTGACTCCACGTTGCAATCTCTTGGGCTGTAGCAGTACCTGCGGTAGGTTTCAGACTGGTTCCATCCAGTATTCCAAGCAAACCCTTTCCTTCTACAAAGACGCGGAATTGGAATTCCCAAAGCGCGTAATTGGTTCAGGTGAGTCGCACCAGTCTCAGATTCGATGGGCTCTGATACTATGTTGACGAACTGAATATTAGAAACGGAATAGCAAAAACTGTAAATGACACACAGATTTTAACTTGGTTTCCCCGGAAATCCCAGGACTAGTCCACGGAAGAGATCAAGTTCTTCAAGCACTCAAGTTCACTATCAGTCTGTTGTGTTACAGAAGAGATGCGGCCAAAGGAAGATATATACACTAGGCTAGGGTTCTGTAGCATCACCTAGCCTAGCATGGGCTTGCATGGGAGTGGGCCCAAGTACGCGTATACAAATGTTCAGTACAACGTTCGGGCTGGAAATAAAGCGAAGCCAAAGCCACTATTCTGCTAACTATTTGATGTCAATTAACCGACGCCACCAACTATCTCTTTCTGCAGCGAATCGCCATAGCCACTTGGATAACATGGCGTCATTGAAAGCTTTTAAATCGTGGATGCCCGGCCCGCCCCTTTTCTTATTCATTTTTATATAATTTCCAATCGACCAAAGCCATTTTATTTGGTATCCTGCGCTCCATTCACATAAACCTCCTCTGCACTTTCCCCAAATCATTTATAACATAACAGGGCGCTTTGAAAAGAGAGAAAAGGTAGGAAGGCATACTCGACAAGACCGCTTTACACAAGACCAGTCTCGCACTAGTGAAAAGATTTTTGCTCCCCCAACCACTCAGTTCTTGATAAAACCGAATTGGGATTGATGTTTGGTCCGCTCTCGGTTGAGACCGTACGTCTAAGATTCGATCTAATTTTTGGCCGTCACTTTGGACAGTACAGAAACCCAATTGAACGGGTTATCTCGGTCCAGTATCGAACTAACACTGTGCAATGTAATTATTAAGTTTGGGGAAATACACATTGGTCCATAATGTTGAAAAATAATTAACTAACATGAGAAAACTAAGGCCTTGAAGTTATTAAGTGAATGGGGACTATATATATAAACGCAAATATGTGGCTCTGTTCTGCGTTTGTGTTGGCCAGCCTTTAGGGTAAACAGAAAGTCCACGGACCATGAAAATGGTTGCCATTACCCTTGACTTGATGCTGCTTTCACCTTTTCCTTCCTACTGTTCCAGCATGCACGTACCCACAACGTCATGTCGTGGACCACAATTAACACCTTGAAAAAACTTAACAACAAGAAAGAAAGTGAGCATCATGAACGCTTATGATTTGCTTCATTAGCTAGCCTGGCCACCAATTTACGTCCGAATGCTATGTCTTTGCATCTTGACACAAATACGTACTAACGCATTGGTCAAGGGGAAGTTTCATTTAGGATTACCCATTATAGAGAACCGTATTTGTGTATACAAGGAAGTGGTTAAGTATGCTAGAGAGTGGTAAAGATCCCGCATAACTTTCTCCCAATAACTCGAGTTGTTGGGATCAACTGGTTTATGACATGGTATTAGAGCTGGTTTGACCAAGTGGTCGTGTGTTCCAATCTCCACGACCCCGAATATTAACGGTTGGGATTTGAATCTACAAATTTTGTATGTAATATATAAAGCATAAAGTATGGTGGGTCTGTGCAAACTTCAAGCCCATGAGCTAATATTGGGGGTCGTGAGGATTCGAACACACGACCATTTGGTCAAACCAGCTCTTATACCATATCATAAACCAGTTCATCCCAATAACTCCAACTGTTGGGATCAATTGGTTCATGACAAAGTACTATATATGGATCTCTTCTAACAACTCAAGTTATTGAGACACCAATTGATTTATTGTTGTATACGTACACTTTGTTTTGTACAGGAATGTACTAGTGATTTATAGAAAATTTCTCTCGATAGCTCTACATTGTTGATTCTACCATTCTTATGTAGGACATAGATTTATTACCTATGCAATGTGATTCTAATACCTATGCAATGTGATTCTATAGATACGGTTACATGAGCACTTCTACTATGCTATATAGTATTGGTGTTTTAATGTAAAACTTTAGGTTGTACCATAACAATAAATGTATAAGTTTAGGTTGTACCATAAAGGAATTTGTACCATTATGTTATGGTGCAACTTTACAACTTGAAGTTGTACCATCACATAAAGGTACAAGTTCAAGTTGTACCATAAAAGAATTTGCACAAAAAGTATAGGTACAATTTGAAGTTGTACCATAACATTAAAGGTACAATTTCAAGTTGTACCATAAAAGACAAAACCTATAGCACCAATGCTATATATCATTGTAAAATTCCTCACGGTTACATATGCAACAAATGCATTGCATACCGGCTATGAAACAACGCTTGTTTTTTACGTGACGTTTTTAACAAAAAATTATAAATATACACATTTTCCTATCATAAACATTAGTTTTTGCGCAATCCAAACTACAAATCTTACTATAATTCTATATAACAAAGGCTACTATTATATATTATATACAAAATTTGGATATAATATTATGTTAGCTGATTTGAGTAAATCTGTGACATATATGGCATGCTGCAACTGGAAACGACAGTCAGATCAATAATCACAAAAAGAAAAGATTGGAAAAGAGAGAATATAATAAATGAAATGAGTGATCCAAGTTGGTTTATTGTTGACGAGGCATGCACATGAATTTCCCACCTCTCGTCTACCTAATATTCTCATCTCATCGACACATATGATTATTATTAATTCCCGGCAGTAGTAAGGTTACTGTAACTTGTGCACGAAACCAAAACCTAGCCCAGTTAGCTAAGCTAGCCTTTCTATTTCCTGGCCACGTACGTTGCAATAGTACGTAATCAACATATTCCATTCCTCCTCCCTCGTGCTTTCCCCAACCACGGATCATATAATTAATTATCTCAGTGACACTTAACCACACCCACCAACTGTTCGATCAAATGCAACTCCCCCAGTCCCCTTTATTTTTCCTTTAATTGCTCCCTATCTTTCTAGCTAGCTAGCTATATATACACGTTCACACATCGATCTTCATCACGGGATTCTTGGAAGAGATCAAAGCCGTCCAAGAAATGCTAGCTTTTGTTGGATGGTTGGTGAGGGAGAAAACATCTACGTACGCCAGCTAGACAGCCAGCCAGCCATGTATTCAAATTCCAAAGGTGGAAATGTAATCCAACCTAGCTAGCTATATATGTGGTGGGTATTGGTTTCAATAATTCGAGTTGTTGAAAAATGTTCAATTATAGATCATATACTACATACTAACACGTCGCATCAAATGAAAAGCCGCCATATGTGGGTTTGAAGTTCGCACAAATTCAAATGTCATGTTCTTAACAATTGTGGGATCACCGAGATTACGATTGTGGATCATTTACTACTTACTAACAATTTAGAGTTTAGAATGGCTCATCATATCATTTTAGTAAATGAACCAGTTGATACTCAACGTCATTGAGTATTATATTCGAATACGTAAGTGAAATTTCAATTAAATGATATGATTATATTCGAATACGTAAGTGAATTTTCAATTAATCGTATCCTCTCTATATATACATATATTTATTTATATATCCTCTGCTAAATAATAAATGTAGATTGAGCTGGTGAGTTTCTCCCGTAGTGAAAAAGGCATTAAACAAAACGATTTGGGAAAATTCTAGGGTCTGGCCGGAAAGATTCGACATCGAAGCATACGACGCACACACAACCCGATTAGTTGAGTAAAGTCAACTAGCAACAAGACCTTTGTCTTTTTCCTTTTAATTATATCTTTCGAGGAGTAAATAATGTACTATATAAAATTAGAAAAGAATTTCCATGAATTCTACTGGGTATTTTCCGCTGGTATAAATCAATTAAAAAGAAAACTGATTTTTATATATATTTGCATGAGAATACGTGAAGTAAGCTACTATTGCGGATCTACCACAACATGTATATTGTGGGAATAATTAATATTAAGGTATTTCTGTCGTTTTGCTGACCACTTGGTTCTCCATGGGCATGTACATGCACCATCATCAAGATGACATACATGCATGTGTATGGACTACGGATATTCATGTAATATTTGTATACATACTAATTAAATATGTTTAAACCTTTCATTCATATATATAAAGAAATTTCATCAATAGTTTCATAATTTTTCATACTTATATTTATTTTTAATTTGTTTTTTTTTTATAAACCCGTGCTTAACTTTTAAACATACC